GGAACCATGTCCTTGTAAGAGCAGCAAGAAGAGGTGTCATATCCTTGCCAGCACAGATCTTTAAGCATCTGGCAACAAGCCTAATTTTATTTAGTGTTCAGAACTCAGCCTTTCAGGTAAGGTAAGCTTATGGGAAGTGAGCAGGCATTGCAGGGAATGCTAGCAGCAGGCTTCCCACAGTGCCTCATCTGCTGCAGGCCCTTGCGAATTCATTTCAGGCTGTCCCTAGTTAGTGCCAATAGATTCAGTTATTGTAGCACAAAATTGTCATAAATTAAGCAAACACAGAGAAATATGATACTTGAGGAAATGTGAGTGATATTCTGTAGGTATTTCCAGTGTATTTTTTGCCCTTGAACTGGTTTCAGGTTTCCTTCTGGAGAATGAGTCATCTTTTAGAGGTCTGTAAAGGAATTCCTCGGTCCCAAGCAGGATGTGTTTACACCTGTTAGTGCTCATATCTTTTGTGCAAAACACACTATGACTTACTAGCCTTTGCACTCCAACTGCTCAAGGCAGTGGGAGGAAGGTGTAAAATGAAATTAAATCAGAGTAGTGGTGTTTCATATCAAATTTGAACTGATGCCTGGAGCTATTCCAAGGGCCTGCAGCAGAGAGTCATGACTGAGATTTGCTCTCTAATTGCCCACAGTGTGATGAAATTGTTTCTAGTCTGTGCATAAAGTTGACATGGCCTCTGGAGTCCTGTGAATAGAGCTTTGCGTTTGCCTTTGAAAATATTTCTTCATTCAAATAGATATTTCTGAGAAATAGACACAGGGAGGAACATATATTGAGCAAGAGGGTGACTTACCTGTGGCTGTTCTCGGGCGCTGACAATTCTGTAGAGGCTGAGCACGTAGCCCTCCTCTCGGTCAGCGTTGATGTGGCGGAGAGCCAGGTCTGCAGCCTCCTCCACTGCGGCGTCATCGCAGCGGGGGCAGAGCAGGGCAGCCCCTGCTCCTGGGGACGGAGGGGCAGCAGTGCAGGGGCAAAGCACCTGCATGCCAAAGAGCATCCAAGCAAGCCAAACCATTCTGCTTAGAGAGCCAGTGCTGCAGATCGGGGTGGTCAGTCAGGATGGAGGGGCTGAGACCTGAGCAAGATAACAGACCTTTATAGCAAAGCTGTGTCTCTTTATAAACTTGTGCCCCCTTTTTATTACACACTGACCATCACCTTTAAACCTACAGCTGCAACAGTAAACACTAAGTCAATGATTACAAGGTTTTACAGAAGTGTTGTTGCTCCCTCTGAGACCAGACAGCAATTTTCCCTCCTGGCTTTCCATCTCTAATTTGAACTTCACTGGGCAGATCATGCAATTTTGACCTCATAGCAAGGGATAAGAATACACACACAAAGCTGCTTCCTTAAGAAACCAGATTTGCTTGAATAAATCTATGTGCAGAGCAGCTCTGGCTTCAGTTCTGTTCTGTCAGTGATCCAGTTCTTCTGCCAAATAAAATGAAGACAAGGGTCTCAGTAATGTGAACAGAAAATGGATAAATGCCACAAGGTTGACTGATTTTGCGCTTTGTATTTGTTAAATGACAGTTTTAAACAAATATATTGACTCTATTATATGCAGTCAGTTTGGTTGTGATAGAAAGCTCAGTTTGGATTCATTCTGTGAGCATTTCTACTCATCTGGCTACCTACAGTTGAATGCTACCCCTTAGCCCTGGAGGCATTGACACCCCTCAAGGGTCATGGCAAATTCTTCCTGGAGAAACTTTAGTTTGAAATGACAGCAGTGTGCCTTGTGAATAACCTGTCAGGAACTCCATGCTGAAGACAAGGGGGAATAACTTTACAAGTAGCTTCTGTCTTGAAGATCTGGAGAAGTGACAGGAACCATTACTTGGGGAGGATGCCAGTGAATGTCACTGGTTTTCTACTAAGGGGCAACTGCAGCATTTCACCTTGAAGGATACCAGAAGCTGGGTTACCATGTCCCTAGCTCTGGGCCTCTCATGGGACTCTGTGATTGCACCTTTCTGCTGGAGAACACCAAGTACCTTCAGTTTTGAAAGTTCTATTGAATGAGGAAGAAAAAGTGCAAGTGAAGAGCATAATTGTCTCTTCAATACTACTTTGATGTTTGGAGTAGTTAAAGATTTCTATATTGTCACTTTTTTTATTGTCTGTGTAAAGAATCTTAGCCCAGAAGTGTTTAAAGCATCTGGGAGATGGCAGAATGTGTCCCAGGGAATGTCCATAGAAAGCTGGGATTATAGATACAGCCAGAAGACCTGCAGCAGTGCTGGAGCTGAAACTCCTCTAAGAAGACTTTGCTTGGCGGCAGAGGTGTTAAAACCTGATAGCAGGACAGAAGGGGCACATGGCTGCTAGAGTGAGCCCCTCTCGTGTTGGGTGAGGGATAATGCACGGTCTGTGTCCCAGAAGGATGGGATACAAGGGGTGAATGTTGGGAAACACTGCTGTAGCCATAGTACGGGAACCGCAGCAGCAGCAATGCAGACTCACTCCCATTGTTCCTTGTGCCTGGGGCTGCTTCCCCTGCAGCTAAAGGATAATAACTCATTTTCTTTATCCTTACAGTGCATGGCATTTCTATGGAGATGGGTGCCAGTTAGTACTGGCTGTGTCGGTGCTTCTTATAATAGGGGATTGTTATATCCCTGACTCTGTTCTTTGTACTCTTCCTCTGCCTGGAAAGGAAAAATTCCTCTGTTGAAGTGGCTGACCTCAAAACATGGACACAGCTGGGAAATCCGAGCATGTTCAGCCAAAGTAGCACATGAAGTACATGAGCTTTTGCAAAACAGGGTCTGAAAAAGCTGAAAAACATTGTCAGCTAGTGATGCAGACCTGGCAAAACTCTTCATGCTGCATTTCAAGGGAGGGGGAATTTGTATTTAATCTACCACCATTTCATATGTCTCATTGCCCAGAGAATCGATTGTTAAATACTGACTCTGTTACTAAGGCCCAGGTGCATGAAAATGGGGCTATACTGGTGGGAGACAAAGTGATTGCTTCAAAGCAGTCATGGAAAACAGATCTGTAAGGAGGCACGATGTGTCCTTAAGAGGACAAGGGCTAAGGAGAAAGAAGAGGTGCAGCTACCAAACTGGAATGCACAGAGAAAATTTGATTCTTCCTGTTTTAGAAAACAAGGGATTGGTTTCACCAGGTATAGAAGAACATCTGTGAGTATGGAGCCTGCAGATATTTCTGCTACATACCTTTGCTTTGTGTGGTTTGAAAAGGCAACAAGAAAATGCAGCATTTCTGGATTTCAGGGATCCCCAGGGGGAGGGATCCCTTCTATAAACATTGTTTCTGCCATCAGAAAATTTTCTAAGCCTGGAAAACCCTCTCTCTTCTATAAATTAGTTCCTATTTCATTATATAGAAGACAATATTTATAGTTTAGTAATGGTGATTCTGGTTTTGAAAAGTCTCATGTATCTGGTGTCACAGTGATGCAAAACAGAATAGTTGCAGTTTCATTAATCCTGTGCTGTGTCTCATGCAGTGAGATGGGAAGACCTCCTATCTTACTGCATTAAGAGATTTCCAGCTTAATACTAGCACTTTTTGAAGGAATGGCTGCATGCAGGTTATACTGGAGTCACTGCTCTACAGAGGAGCAAAAACTCCCTGAGCCACTGACTGGCTGTGGCTGGTGCCATTGCCCACAGCACGCTTCCTGCAAAACTCAGCATTTGCTTGAAATGTGAGAGCAGCTGCCTTCACAGGCAGAGCTTGCCCTCAGTGTGCTGCCATCACATTAGGCTGTGGTTTATAGAGTCTGATTTTCCTTTCTTTACACACCCAGCTGAAGCACTGGTGCAAGTGCCAATGACTTTTCCCTTCTCCAGCAGAGCAGACCCTCTCTGTATTGTGAGCTGTTGCACTATCACCAAGAGCAAGTGTTAGTTGTGTTGCTTACTGAGTACTGGATGGTTGTAACTAGGAGAACAGGACAGGTTATTTGAAAGAGTTCAGAAATGACATGTGTTCTGCAATTTTTTGCTGCCTGCATGATAATTATCTTGTAGCAAGTGCTGTTCCTGGTTAAACATTCATGACTGTCTTTGAGACTGTTCCCCAGGGCCTGCAGAATTCCAGTCTGGCTGGCAGTAAAGATCCTTCTGGCCCCAGCCCCTTATTAATTCTCTACCTAGAATAGATTCTGCCTCTAACATGTGCCAGAAATTCAGGGAAGATTTGACTGCTAGGACGATGGTAAATTGCCATCATTGTCAGGGTCCTGTTATATGAGATACATGCCCGTCATATATTTTTTATTCCCTTGAATTGGTATTTCCTCATATGCACACAGACCATGCAGGATCCCACGACTGTACTGCACCTGTGTGTCTGCTGGAACACAGACAATACACATGTATTTGGCTGCAGGGATTGATGCTTTCAGCCTGCCTGCTGAAAGTGTGTCCTGACTCTCTGTTCTTTTCATAGATATGGATGCTCTTGTGCTATGTCCAAAAGTTTTGAGGTACTTCTGGTGGATATCAAAACAGGTACATGGTAGGAAACATTATAGGTGGAAGGGAAAAGTACTTTTTTTCCTGCCACTTCTTTAGTGCTATTGGTGTGTGATCAAAAGGGAGGACTGACCTGATTTTCTGCAGTGCTCAGCACCCACACATCCCAGTGAAGCTGATGAGAAGTGCAGGAGCTTAGTGTTTTTGAAATCAAGCCCAGAATATGACTCATAATGCTGTGAAGGAGATACTTGACAACTAAATGAAAATATATACAGATAGAAGGTAGCAAAGCTTTGAACATTTTATTGTGAACTACCCTTTTGGGTGGTGTTTCTATCACAAAGCTACAACTGTTGTATAGCTCTTACAACAGTTTCACTGAAACAATATTTTCTGTATTTTAGCTAGAGAATCCCTGTATGTAAAGTAAACTACTGCTATATGTTGTAATCATCTATATTTTGGAGCAGGCCTTTGCAAGACCCTGACCATGGCTCTGCGGTAAAACTCATTCAGGCTCAGAGTCAAGTGTTGTCACCGATTTGTAGTCAATGTTGTGTTCTGTGTGTTGCTGTTGCACTGATCCCTCAGTTTGGCTGCCTTGCATGTCTGAAACACAGCCTAGATATCGAAGTGGCGAATCTTCCCAGGGCAGGGAGGAGGAGGAGGCACAAAGCCAACTGGACGAGGTACTTTGTCATGCTGAGCAGCAACTGCTCTCTTTGTTACTGATTTTGCTGAGAGCCTGGAACGCAAAATTTCTGAAGAGCTGGATTCAGATGCAACAGGGTTATTGTGGAAAAGCCCAAGATTATGGTTTGTGACGCCTACAGCACTGGGTGCCAGTCCTGCTGATGTGTCTTGACCCGGATGAGCATAGGTAACTCCAGGCTGGAAAAGAAAAACAGGTCATGTTGGTTTTCAGTGGTTTGGGGCTTGTGACATACAGCTAATTGATACCTAACTAGGTACCCTGCTCCTAAAAGCTGAAGGCCTGCAACCCAGGCTCAAATGTTCCTGACTATCACAGAAGTCTGATTTGCATTGGAACACATGGACAGGAGCCCAGGAACACATTTTTTATAGCAAATGAATCATTAGAACCAAATTCTGTGCTATATGATCTTTCAGGGCCACCTGCACAGCTGGTGAAACATTCAAGACCAGCTGTCGCATTTTCTCTTTCATATACCTCCTAGACAGCTAATTACTGTTGAGTTACCAAGAGCTGTTGTCCATAGGAAGCATTCAACAACCACCTAGTCCTCCTGAGACCAAATGTGGGCTAAAATACCTGGAGAGTACTCAGGTCAGGTGCACGTTTCCCTCCCCTTGCTATAGCAGTGCAGGACAAGGTCCCTGAATTGAGTCATGTCTAAGGACTAAAAGCCTCCAGCCTGACAATGCTGATTTCTGTTTTACATTTATCTGCCCCATCCCTTTTTCTGAGCAGAGTTTGGTTCCCTTTGCCCTGCTGGACATGTGAATCTCCCAGATGGTCAAGAGGGAAAATTGTGTCAAGCATGGATGGCAGACGTGACTTAATACCCAGTACAGAAATCCGTAGGGTAATCAGCAGCTACCTTACCTTGGCTTTTAGGATACAAACTTAAGTTATCACAGGTGGCTAATGCAGGCTATAGTGAAAGAAGTAAACTCAAGATGATGCCTTGTAACAGCACCAGTAGGCTAGAATACCCAGGAAAGCAAGGGAATATCTGGAGCTGGTACCTGATGTCCGTACAACTGGCAGTCCACCTGAAGGTCTTGTGAGGGACTTTTTACCATCACTGCTGTACAGAAACCAAAATTCTGGCAAAGCAGAACATAGTCAAGAGAAAATAGTTAGAAAATAGAGGGAGACTGCATTTTGATTTCAGCACATTTAGAAATGGCAACTTGTTCTCATGTTTTATCTGAGAAGTAGAGTGCTTGCTTTTTAGCCTGCTGGGCTCAAAAAATAAAGCTTTTTAAATGCATAAGCAGCAAATAAGGGAAAGTCCTGTGTTCTTCTATAGTAAGATCCTTTGTATGTCTGGATATGAGGGAGGGAAAGAATATATAAGAATCTAGGTAAAGAGCTCCACCCCCTAGAACTGCTTAGGACTCAGTTTCATCAGAAACAGAAGAATTTTAACATAGTAAAGTATACAGTATAATTTTCAAAAGCATATCTATCAGAACTGAGTGCACTGGAATTGTAGGAGGGGGAAACAGTCTGCTTTTTTTTTTTTTTTTTTTTTTTTTTTTTTTTTTTTTTTTTAATGTTACTGTGTACTGTCCAGTACAAAGAGCCTGATTTTCTCAGGTACTCATTTTAAGAATAAACAATAATATATAGTCTATTCCTTAAAAATATTCTGTCTCTGGTACTCAAGCCTTTTTCAAATGTATTCAAAGCCATTAGAATTCAGTCCAGGTACCTCAGAGAAAAGAGAAAGGTGTGATATAGCTTTAAGAGTGAAATATTGAAAAACATATCCTGATGCTACTCATCTCTTGCACTTTGATCCCCACAGGGGTCTACCCCAGCATGATGCTGCTTTTCCACCTCGGAGCTGGGGAGGCTGGGGCTGCTGTGCTGCCATACTCACAGACTGATCCTCGGGCAGCAGCTGACAGGCTCCCACGTTGGCTTTAGCTTCTTCTGCAGAGCAGTTCGTGGCACCCACGGCAAACTCAGTAACAACAACGTGCCCTGGGTGATACTGATAAAACAGGAAAGATGTTTGACTGACTTTGCACTCAGAAACTGCAGAGCTGCTGAGAAAAGATAAAAGGCAAATGTTGTGGCTTCATCTCCCACTGGAGTGAAAGGGAATCCTGTGGCTAAAATGACACATAATAGTTGGGAAATTAAAAGCAAATCAGGAGGGCAAATTAGAGCAAGCAAATTGTGTCTGTTTGCAAACATAACTAGGTAGCAGCGCACAATTACTGTACATGAAATATTATGTTTATACGAAAGGCCAGACATAGCTGTAGAAATTACCTGTATTTTTGCTCTTCCAATCTCGAGGAGTCTGAGGTAAGAATCTGTGGTTTTGCTGTTGTAGTCATTGAGTGCAGCTGACACTGTTTCTAACACCTCTGTGTCATTCAGTCTTGCCAACAGTGGACAGTCAGGACAGACTTTGCGAATGTCTTCACTGGAGTCTGCAGGAGGAACAGATCGTGTTTTGATCAGATTGTAAATTGTTTAGAAAGGCATTATAGGCCTATTCAGTAACACAAAGCACCGTTTAAAAACCTGTCCCAAATTAAGGTGGCAGGATTTTTTCCGGTGCAGGCTATAGATGGCAGTGTATCACACGACTTGGCCATTCAGATCTTTCTGCAAGGAAAAGTGCTGTGGACTTCAGTAGAACATTTTATATGTCCTTACTCAGTTTTTAGAAAATTTTCTTTCTGGAAATCTCTCTATGACACCAGTGAAAAGGTGCTTCACCTCACACAAGGAATGGTAGAAAAATGAAGGTATTTTACCTCACTGAAGTGTGTTTGTGTTTGTTATTTCAGTCATCAGTTTTGACAGTAGTACAGAAGACATCTCGTGCAGAGCAAAGAGATCTCACACTGAGCAGGCAGAATAGACATTCTGCTTTCCCATGGCAGTATTGAAAATGCTGGATTTAGTAAAGAAGCTGCATCTGCCAATGGGACTCTGATGACCAACAAGTGCAAGTAAACTCAGATCAACAAGGTTAAATTAAACCTTAAATTCTTAAGGTTAAACTGCTGACTGAAAAGACTCAAATCTGGGACTTGCTCCCCAGTTAGTCTTACAGTATCTTAGTTGTCACAGTAAAGAGAAGCAAAGAGAAACAGTGGTTTGTAAGGGAATTAAACCAGAAAAGGGGGCTGGATTTAGAAAACCCATTAACGGTTGTCCTTTATGCCATATTTATACCCAGCAGTTTAGAATCAGAAAAGCCACTGAACTGTAACCACTGCTATAAAAATACTCCAGCCTCTAGATTCAAACCTACAGAACAAAGCCTTTACCTGCATGTGAGTGGCATTTGCTAGCAAGTACAGATAATGTCCCATCCACCTTCTGCATTTTAACATCACAGTCACCCTCAACTGCCTAGAGAGAGACAAAAATCAAAGGGTTACATTGTTGGATTTTCTGATAAAGGGCCACTAAATTCAAAAGAACAGATCCTGGCTGACCATTCCTGACAACATCGGTCTGATGGCAAAGGCACTGCTAGGCATGTCCTGATGTCTGTGATTTTGTAAAAGGCAGATCAGAGCTACAAAATCTGGATCCAAATCTGGATCTCAAAAAGTATCAAAAGTACCAGGGTAGCAAGATTGTGGACATTTAGTACAGGTTTGTCTCTCATATAGAGCAAAGAATATGAATACATATGAATTAAGACCTTCCACAGAGCTCTTTGATAACATTCTCACTAATCTCAGCTGGTCAGTGGCCATGGTAACAGCAGAGTGTGCTGCCTTGTGTGAGCAACATGATCCAGCAGGGAGATGTCAAAGGCAAAGCTGGAGTCACTGGGAAGAGGGAACAGTTAGAGTTACCTCCCCCCCGATGGAAAATAGAATCTGAGCCCTGATGAATACAGGGGTAGATCATGATTCATATTTAGTGAGCTCTGTGAATTGGGCCCCATTCTAGAAACAGCAGGCTCAGACAACATTTCCACTGCTTTGGTCAGGAAAGTGTCTCACAGCTGGATCACACTTGCATAAGAACAAAATATCTGAGGCCAGTAAATTCCAGCTGAGCATTACTTCAAAGGCAGAGCCCTATCTGAAGGGAATAGCTCATCTGCAGTTGTAACTAGGAAGAGAAGGCTTGGTGGAACTGCACCAGGTAACAACCCACATGTAGCCAAGGGAAGGGTATTTTTGCACAACTGACAGCCTGCCCTGTCCGTGGTTTGCAATGAGGCAGTGACATCTGGGCTGACTGAATGTGGAGCCCCTAAAGAAGGCCCCGTGGCATTCATGGACTGTGTGTGGGATGTTATGTTGGCAGAGAGCAGTCCTCTTCAGATAACAGGACATGAAAGAAATCCAGGAGTGAAGTCCTTCCTGACATGAAGGCAGTGAAGTCAGCAAGCAGGTTACAAGCGGTTGGGTGGCTATAGGCTGTTACAGGGATATGACATTTGCTTGGGAATCTGGTGATAGCCTGGCCTCTGGCATCAACATATTGAATATGCACCTTTGGACCCTGCAGGTAGTGTTCAGGTACTCACATGTTCTGCAAAGCTCCTCACTGTGCAATTTGCAAGAGGTGTAGGGCTCAGAATAGGGCACTTGGTCTCCAGTAAGTCAAGTTCAAGAAATATTAAGTCATTATTTGGCCCCTGAAAGGAAAAAAATAAACCATTGGAATTGATGTAATTTCTTCACAAAACATCACCAGATTTCTTCCCTGGGGCTTCACTTCCTCTGTTGCTGACTATCATGGGTAGCTCCAAGCATACACCAGAGTAAATGAAAAGGTCCTTACTTTTAACTTTATAAAAAAACAGCACTCCAAATCTGGAGTAAGTCAAGATAATCACACTGAGTTTATTCCAGCTAATAAGGAACAGGCTCATAAATTTGGCAAAGTCAAGTTTGTATGTAGTGAGTCAGTTCTCTTAAGTTAATTTTATTTTGCTGGGTAGTTTTAAAAAGTCAACAGCTTTCTTTTTGATGAAAAAAACTTCATGTTTCTATAACTAGATACAAAACAAACACCAGTGAACATTGACCTGTCTTCCTTAGTCCATTTGAGTTACACTGAAGTGCACCAGTTCCTTTGCATCTGTAACAAAGGACACAGTTCTTTGGGTTCCCTAGGTCCCCTATTGATTCTGATGTTCAAGTCATGAGTGGTTCCATTTAAACCAATTAAGTAATTTTAGTGCAAAAGCATTAATATGAGCAAAGCAGTGTCACCAGTGTTTTTGTATGGTAACTCTGCACACACTTCTAATCTCATTTATGCCTGTTGTAGTCTTTTCTAAATGTATTTTTTTATATCTTCTCTTTCATAACAAGTAGAAAACTGCCATGGAGTTTCACTCATGTCTATCATTCTTGTCATGTTTTCACTCATGGAACTATTTTCCATGTTTTAAGAGAATCAAAGGTTCTAAATTTGCACATATATTGTATTTATGACCTTTTCTATGGCCTGTCTAGATGCCTACAATGATGGCAATAGATCTTAGGGAAAATAAGCCACTGTTATTTCCATTTAGACCTCTTGGCAGCTCAATGGGACATTAGGTAAAATTAATGCCTACTACAAAATCACAAATAGCATGGAGTTTTTGATAGGTATGTGTTTAGCCAATAAGTAATTACCTGCATCCCAAAGATTATCCTCAGTTTTTCTCCAGATTAGCTACTGGGTTTACAAATCAGTACCTGGAATGTTCTGCCCTAAGAAATGTGCTGCGTTTGTAACCCGAGCTCTTTCTAGCATTGTACAAAAACATCTGAACATTTCTCTCTCCCCCTCTGTTCTGCTCTTTGAGAGATACATTCCAGTGACCTGGATTCTCCACTGCTACCCGGTGTCCTTGCCCCATTTAAATCAACAGAGCCATGCTGATTTCCCCATGTGAGGATACAGCCCTTGCAGGCCCTTGGTGATTTCCAAGCATCCCAGGTGAACACAGTGTTCTGCCTGCAAGCTCCTCACTTACCTGGGGTACCACGCGGATATCCTCGATTCGGTTTAAGGCAAACTTGTATCCATGATGACTGTGGCCATTAATATAATTCACAGCAACTTCAGCTGCTGCTTCAGATTCTGGGTCATCACAGCCCAAGGGAGCAGGGGGAGCTGCTGGTACAGCTTTGTGAATTGGAAGCTGAACAAGCAGTATTAAAGCTACTAGTGCCTTCATGGCACCTGAGGAAAACTGATCCCTTTCAGAAATAAAGATCTAAGAATACAGCTCAGATGGTAGCTAGGTAGCGAGAGCTGGGGCCTCATTTATATAGTACATACCTCAGATTTACATGAGCACATGTCTGATATTTGTCCCAGTTCCAAGAAGCATTGCAAACAACAAAAGAGAAAAGTAAATGTTAGGACATCAAGCTGACTGATTAATTTTGGCCAAAGTAAATTTTATCAGGTAGGATATTGCGAAGTCTGCTAAAGCAGCTTAAGGAGAAAGCGTCAGCAAAAATGTAACACAATTTTTAGACACTTCTACCAACCAAATACTGTCCATGTAAGAGGAATGTGATCCCTTCTGTTAAATGTGTAGAGATGCTAGTGCTAATTAAGCTTTCTTGTAAACAGGACACTTTCTGTTGGAGCCCAAATCTCACCAGACACCAATCTAAATTGTGAGATCAGTAGCATGATAATTTAGAAAATGGAATTTTAAGTAGTTTTAAGGACCACATTCAACAGCAAATGTAATTGAATAGCAACTTTTGCTACTGAATTATTTGGAATAGGAAATGAGGCGTAGTTCCTAAATCCTTTGCATCAGCTTTTTCTTTCTCTGAATAATCTGAATATGTCCAATAGTTCTTGGAGTTTTATTTTGCAAAGCAGACATCTTGTAGGAATGTTTCTGGAATATGTTGTACAGATTTGAGGATTTGGCAGAAGATCCTAAAGAGCACAAAGTGTTTTAAGGAGGATAAAAAGGAAAATTAGCTGCTTAAATGCTTAGGAATGCTGGATCCAATCTTATGTTTACATTCACAGTAAATATTTACAAAAGAGTAACAGGATAAAAAAATAATCTTTGTAGCAGAATAAAGTATCTATGATGTATCCAGCATTTACAATATTTAATTTAATGTGAGATGACTTTGGCTAGATAGATTTTAGCTAGACAGTCTGGCTCAATCAATAGAAATGGTTTTCCTGTAGGGGTTTCAGAGCAGGTTTCTACCACCCATGCTAGGGCAGTGATCAGGCTGCAGAACAGTAAAGGTCTCTTTTGGCTTTAACTCGTCTGAACCTCTGTTGTCGCTTTTAGAGTTGAGGAACTAGCTGCAGATTTGAAATGAATAGAAGGACTTTGGCATAGTTAGAAGTTGGGGCTTTTTTACTTTAGATAATAAGTATTTCTCCTCAGCTTACATGATATTGTGAGAGAGGCTAAAAGTTTTGGGGAAAGAAGCAGTCTTGAGTCATGCCTCTCTCTCCTAGAATCTGTGAATACAGGAAACACTATAAATAGCAATGGTTCAGTTGGACAGATTACGTGATAAAGGAGAATGGGAAGAGACTAAAAAGATTGGATTATTTGATTCAGTTTTATGGCATGAGGTGTATTTTGGATGCTAGGATTTGCAAATTGAAGAGATTCATGGAGAAAATAAAGATTTTTTTCTCTCTATCACATTAAAAAGTTGGTCTGAGCATGATTTGTTTCTTTCCCGTGACTTGAAGCAGGGGTTTTCTGGCATTTGTTCTGTTGTGCGCATGATCTTTTGTTTTCCTGACTTTGGCCTGCAACAATTAATGAATGAAGGTTTGGTGCTCTTTGTGGGCATCTTTTGAATTTATTTAGCAAATTTATTTAGAAAGACAGTATTTTACTCTTTACTGTTAATGCACAGTTCAGTTTATAACCTATAAATCTTTTCATTCTCCTTTTCCTTTTTTTGGTCTGAAACATTGAGGTGAACTTCCACCAGGTGCAGATTGAAATTGTTTTCCACCTGAGTGACATATAATTGTCCCAGTGAAGGACTTAAAATATATTTATAAATTTTGTGTGGTCATTACTCAGTTTCTTAGGTTACATCTTTTCTAATTAGAATTGCAAATATTGTAGGATGTATAACATTTCTGCAGTCAAGCTCTGCATATTCCTAGATGTAATATATAACCCAGTTCAGTCAACTTCAGGTTCCAGTTTCAAAGAACAACTTAAAACCTCAAATAGCAAACAGGATTTATTATCTTCTTTCTTCCCTCTTCATTGTCAGTCACATTCCATATTCCATTTACCAAGCAGGACAAAAAGGAAATACTTTGAAGCCTGCTGTACCTCTCCTTAGTTTCTCTATAGGCTTACTCAAGCCCTTCCCCTCTTGGTGACTGTGTGAACTTTCTTTGTGGGCATACAGAGGATGAGAAATGTGCCCACATGATTATTAATGCTCAGTGCAATGTGGAATGTTGGCAGTTTGGGGTGACTTGTGATATGTGTGAGGAAATTTGTGTTTGGTTTTTATGTTTGGGAAAGGAGTTTAAAAATACAATCAGGTAGTTTGGGTACAGGAAATATGATAAAGGAGCCTTTCACCTTTTGGGTACAGACTGACACACATCTGCCTAATTATTCCCTCTGAAGGTGGGATTGCTGGTGTCAGCTCCCTGCAGGCCTGTGGCCCATCACAACTGTCCTTTTTACAGCACCCTCACTGAAGAGGCAGTAATTGCAGAGATAACTTCTCACTGAACTCAGGGCAGATCTATTCTCTCTCTTTCATGCCTGAGACATAGTAACACGTTGTCCTGTATTTGCAGTAGTGGCTGCAAATAGTTCTTACAGCACAAGAAAGTGACCTGGATGCCAAGGGCTCCTGCACAGGAGGTGACATCTCAACCCCACTGAAGTGAGCAAGTCTTTCACAGAATAGCAGTAGCACAGAAGGGTTGACTTTGGAAAGGATATCTGGGGGTCACCTTGTGCAACCCCACTGCACAAGTAGGGAGGGCCACCTTGAAGCAGTCACCCAGAACCACGTCCAGGTGGCTTTTGATTATCTCCAAGGAAGGAGACTCCACAACCTCTCTGGGCAACCTGTGCCCATGCTTGGTCACCCTCACAGTCAGGTGTTTCCTGATGTTCAGATAGAACCTTCTATTGCAGTCTGTGCTCATTGCCCCTGGTCCTGTCACAGAATTCCACTGACAAGAGTCTTGCTCCATCCCTTTGCACCCTCCCTTTTGGTATTTATACCCATCAAGCCCTTCCAAGCCTTCTCTGTGCCAGGTAGTCCCAGCTCTCTCAGCCTTTCCTCACAAGAGATGCTCCAGTACTTTAGTTACCTTTGTGGCCTTTTGCCACACTGTCTCCAGTATGTCCCTGTCTCTTCTGTATTGAGGAGCCCAGGACTGGGCACAGAGACCGGGTGTGACCTCACCAGTGCTGAATACAGGGGAAGGAGCAGCTCCCTGAAGCTGCTGGCAATGCTTTGCCCAGTGCAGCTCAGGGTACTCTGCAGCAAGGGAACATCATTGGCTCAGCTCAGGGCCTGCCAGGACCCTCAGGTCCTTTTCTGCAAAGCTGCTTTCCAGCTAGGTGGTGCTTTTCAGCATATTTTCCTGCATGTGCTGCCCTGGGGCAGGATTTCAGACCTCCCTGAACTTTGTGAGGTTCCTGTCAGCCAGTTCTGCAGCCTGGCATGGTCCCTCTCAATGACAGCATGACCCTGTGTCACACCAGTCACTTCTCCCAGTTTTGCTCACCATCCGGATCACTGCTGGTGTCAAACAGGACTGGACCCCAGTGTTTCTCCCTGTGGGGCACTGCAGCTTACTGGCCTCCATCTCGACTTTGTGCCACGATCAGCCCCTCCAGGCCCAGCTCTTCAGCCAGCTTCCAATCCATCTCAATCCACCTTTCACATCAGTGGTGTGAGACTCTGGCCCTGGTGAATTAGGTTGCCTGAGGGACTTGACAAGGCTTCACTGCAATGGAAGCAGAATGAGCTGGGTTTACTGCCCTTGTTATATAAAAAATAGTATTGATTCTATGCTCAAAAATTGAGGCTCCACTGAATCTCAGTTCTTAATAATTCATATAAACCACAATGGAAAGGTGAGTTGATGGTTTTCTTTTTTGCTTTCTCTCTTTTTTTTTGGTTGGATGCTTGGAACAACTAGTGATGATTGGAAATTTGCTGCCCCTGCTCAAACTCATTTGGAAAAAAAGCAAAGAACCACTTTCCTAGATGTCAAATTGACACCTTCCTGAGCTTAAAATTCAAGCAAATTAACCAAGCAAACAGATAAATATCATCTTTTTAAAGCTTCACATCAAAGTTAAACACTTGTGTGGATTTCTGAGGCTCTCTTTTCAGATTACTAAACCGACATTTTTTGGTAAAGCAGACAGAACTGGTCCAATTCTCTGTACCACATCAAAAGATGCATTTCTGAGCAGTCAGGCATTGTACAGTACTGCAAAACTTAATCACCTTTTGCTTTACACTTGATTAAGTACATTACTTTTGGATCATCGAGTTCACAAGGTATTGGAACATCAGGGCTGTCTTCTATATAGCCATCACCTACTCAGAAACCTGCACGCAAAGGCAAGAAAATGTCTGCAGGGAAAATGTCAGAAAGTTAAAGTCACCAGTCTTGTCAAGGCAGCATATTGCTCCCTTAAATGACAGTATAATCAGCATTTAAAAATAAAGTGTGTGAAAACCCATAGAGGTCTGAGAAAAACCTCAAGACAAATTAGACTAATTGATTTGCATAGACTTATTGGCCCCTTTCCACTACATGGGCAAATCTTCAGCAGATGTAAATTGGCTCAGAATCACTTCAGTCCAAGTCCCCCATTGTTGCTATAACAGGAATTTCAGGCTGAAGAAAAACTGTGAAGTCTGAACAGTTTTACCAGAATGTAATAGTAGAATATTATATGTAAATTAATTAATTTTTATTAAATATTAGAATCTTTAAGAGAAGGAAGGCTGACCATGTGCCCTAGTTTGCTGTGCTATTTGCAGTTGAGAAATTTCTTACAGTGAGATATAAAGTGTGCAGACATGGCATCTAATTTGGGAGCCTTTTGTCCTGGATGTCCAGCTAGAGATTCCTTTTCAGTGAGCTTTGCTGATCTCAATCTGTTAATCTTTATTTTCTTTTAACTGTAGGATGAAAATAACTATTGTCCCTTTTAATTCTGTGATCTGAAATAACTGAAATTTGCAAAAATGTTTGGTATCACTGGGTAGAAGGATGTATTCAAAACC